TGATGGGGCTGGTTCTCCTGCATCTCCCTTCCGGATTGCAAAGAAGGGAAAGGCAGGTCTTCTCGCCTGCTCTGACTTTCTGGAGCAGAGTGCTGGCCTCTTCTGCTGTCAAGCTCCTTGGTAGCCAAGTGGCAACCAGCAGAAAGAGGAGAAAGGCGAGGATTCAGGAACCCTCGGAGGGGGTGGCTGGTCTTTCTGGCCGCCCAGAAGAACCACAGATATGTGAGGAAGGGGTCCAGCATCCAGGAAAGCCTGCGCCAAATGGGAAAAAAATGCACCTCTTCTTCAAGGTGGCACCGCGATTTCTGTGTGGTCAACATGAAAAGGGCCTGGAGATGATTTGGGGCTGGGAAGGCAGTGAGAGGGCAGAGAGAAGGGAAAGCAGGGGAGGTTCAAGAGGTGGATGTCTGTCCTCAGCAGATCCTGGCTTTTGAAGAGCTTCTCCTCCCTGCCCCAGGAAGGAGGGAAGAAAAACTCTGACCATTCCTATGAACTGGCTGAGCCTGGGTGTTTCTTGCCAGGACTCCTCCTTGGCTTCAGTCCCCTAACAGGGGCAGCCAGGAGAAGTGCTGGAGCTCCCTGAGGGACTGCTATGGGATTTTCTGGGTCAGGAAGGACTGGAGCCTTTCCCCTCCAAAACCAGGAGGGAGCCAGAGATCTCGCTGCCAGTTAAGCCAGCATTCAAATTGGTGTGGGGTGTTTCTTCCTTCCTTTTCTATTGAAGGGTTAAATGCAATACGAGTTTCGAGTCCTAGAGGGGGAGATAACGGGGGCGTGTGGGAGGCGTCTACAGGAAGTGTCCACTCTCACAAGAGTTCCCCTTCCTGTCTTGCCTTTTTCTTCTTCCGGAGTGAAACGGGGGCTTTGGTTCCTCCGAAGGGGACTTAAGCCTTCCTACGGAGCTCGTCTCCCTCCCGAGGCCGCCCCAGGGAGCCCAGAGACGGGGTGGCGGTGAGTCCCTCTGCTCGGGCCGCAGGGGAGGGTTTGGTGGAGGGGGGGGTCTGGGGGGGGGGGGGGAAGGGGGGTTCCCCCCCCCAATT